TTATTTTATTAATCTTTTAATAATTTTATAATTTTTTCATCATACTATTATTTTTTTTATATCCGCTTCCAATATTATATAAAAATATTACTTAAAAATAAATTAATTTGTAATTATAATATTATTGTTAGTAATCAAATAAAAAATAACATTCAAAACTAAATTACCCTCGTTTAAACAAAAACAAACAAACAAACAAACATCATATATAGAAATCAAATACAAATTTTCAATCAATTTTTTCAATGTTTTCAATGACAACAACACATACTGACCACTCAGACTAATACAATCAATTCGTATAAAATAGAAAAATAAAAAAAGAGATGAATTAATCTATTTGAAAAATAGATTGGAAAAAATACAAAATAAAATTGAACTATACATTTAATTTTTGCAAGGTTTGGAGAATCAAATTTAGATTTTCAATTTATTTGGTTGACTCACAGTATTTAATCGATGATGATCAAGCATCGTGGCAGCGGCGACACGGCAATCTCTTCTAGCAGCTGTGGATCTCACTTTTTTCAAACGTCCACCGTATACAAAATCTGTATTGCATAAAAAAAAATAAATAACAAGAAAAAATAATTTAGTAAGTAGAAAATAAAAATCAAGAGATTAAAAAGAAAAATTCAAATAAATATAAAATTGACTGGTGAAGAATATAAAAAACAAATGTGAACCTCAGCCTAGAAGATGGAATGAGAAAAAAAAAATGTGAAAGAAACCATATAAAAATACCTGCACAATGAAAATTATATTTATTTATATCTAAAAAAACTATTTTTTCAAAGAAAAATTATCTAAAAACACTGTAAATTATCTAAATTTTAAAACTGCAAATTATTTAAATTCTAAAACTGTCTATGCCACTAACATAAAACAAAATATATATATATATATATAAATTAAAAAAGTGTAATGTACACTAACATATAAAAACCCGTAAAAAAACTATAAAAAGTGAAAAAATAAAACCAAAATACTCTAAAAAAATTTAAAATTGCAGGAATCTCAAACACCTTATGCGATAGTAATAGATATTATTATTATTATTATTATTATTATTATTATTATTATTATTATTATTATTATTGTGTGCAATTTAATTGAATTATTAAATAAGTATAGGAAATGTAGTGTGGATAGGCTTTATTAATTTATTTTTTTTATAACATGGGAATCTGCGGCCGCTATATTTTGAATTACATTTTTAATAAATTTTTGATCGAACACTAAGCTAACCATATATAACAAGTAGAACGTAGAGACGTCGTGATTTCTATCACTTGTTATTGTCCATAAAACAACATATCATCAAAATTCGGAGCTTCGTTGGATTTTTGGTTTCTAAGAGGACTCATCACATCAATTAAATAAATAAATAAATAAAATGGAAATTCATAAACATCACTATCAATATTACAATGTTTAATTAATATCAACAAACACACTATTTAATGAGCCTTTAAATCTTATTCCTCCAATATATATATATATATGGTTTGGATTTGGTGCTGATTCATACTGGTTAGGGCAAAAAAAAGAAAAAAAAAAAAAAAAATTATTAAAATATTTTATAAGTTATATAATTAATATAATTATATATAATAAATTTTACCTAATCGGTGCTGATTTAAAAAAAAAAAAGTTAGCAACCAATCGAACTCCATATATATATTAAAAAATTTGCAAAAAGTATTTAATACATATACTTAATTATTAGTTGTCTTGTTAATTTTTTTAACAATTATTTTATATTATACAATACTAATAGATGTATTTTTATTTTTTTATTATAAATCAATATAATATTAATATTTAAAAAATTTACGTTTAAAAAAAAAAAAAAAAAAAAAAACACTATCTTTCTCATAGAATAAAGGGAATATAATTAATTATATATAATTTATATATCTGAAAATCGCAATTTAATTTCTAAAAAAGTTGCAGGCTTAGTTGTAAGGTTTTAATTTCATTACTAAATTATTTTTAATTTAAATTATTATATATTGTTATAATTTTATTATAAAAACAATAAATTAATATTGAGAGTGTATTAGGTTAATAATTGGATTTGTTGTTGAAAGATTGATGGGAAGAAGAGATTTATCTAATTGATATTTGATACTCTTTCACCTGGCGAAGATATGTAAATTTGTTTGGATGCATAAACAAAATAATTATAATACTCTAATATCAAAATAGTGTATGTGTAAAAAAAAAATAAAATAAAATAAAAGAAAAAAAAAAGAATAATAATAATAAAGAAAATAAAAGTAATATGTAAAACTTATTAAAGAATTAGTAAAAATATGATATAATAAATAGAAAAATATAGTGGAAAATTTATTAATAATCTCTCCCCTCAAATTATGTTCATATTTTTTGAGTCATCCGTTAAACTTATACACAATTTTGGTTTAGTACACAAATTTTACTCACCCACAATTTTATTATTTTTACTTTAACAAATAATAATTAATTTGTCACTATTTTTTCTACTTATCACGTTATGTTTTATCAATTTTTTTAATAAATTTCCTATAATATACCAATTTTACTTTTTACATACTTTATTATGTCTAGTTAGAAGTTGACATAATAATTAAGGAATAATAATATTTAATTAAAAGTGGGTATATAAAAGACTAAAATATCTTTCTTTTCTTTTCGTTTTTTTTTTAAGGATTTTAAAAAATGGATTAGAATAATAATTATGAATAGTTTGGAATTGTATGAATAATTTTGTTATAAAGTGGAGACCACGATTACTAAATAAGGAAACATGACAATTGTTTTTAAACGGACGAAAATGAAAAAAAAAAAAAAAGACAACTTTTTTTGGACGAAAGGAATATTACGAAATCATTGTTTTTAACTTTTGTGCCCAACCAAACATACATAATTAACTATGGAAAGAATATTTATTAAAATAAGAGTAATAAAATTATTTGCTATAAATTGAAATAAATATAAATTTAGCCAACAACAAAAAAAAGATATTGACATAATTTTGAAGAGTATTTATTTATGATATAATATATGATTGAAATAAATATAAATTTAGCCAACAACAAAAAAAGATATTGACATAATTTTGAAGAGTATTTATTTATGATATAATATATGATTGAAATAAATTTAAAATATGTGTTTAAGATTTTAAAAGTTATATTTTAATAAAATATAGGAGTAGTACATTTGATATTAATTTGATATCATTGTGTAAAAAGTTAAACCTTATATTATAATATAAATAAAAATTAAATATATATATATATAAATTTATTCATAATCAATATATAAATTAAGAGTATTTTTATTTTTTGTTTTTGGATTTTGGTAGATTTTTTGTTGACATGAAAAGTATACAAGTAGTACGAAAAATAATCGATCTGTTTACTTAATATTTTTTAATAATGAAATAATTTTTTATAAATAAAATATATGCATATATTAATATAAAATATATATTATTTACTCATATAAAAGTCCAACAAAATATTATTTTTACATTATCAACAAAGTTGATTATATCGTACATACAAAATCAATTCATATAAGTGAACAGAGTGAATATAGTATTTAATTTTGGTTTTTGATTTTTATAGTATTTTGGATGCAACTTTTTATGATAGTAAATATTTTATTTTTGTAACAATTCATTTTGCTTGGATAGTAAAATAAATTAAAATCAATCTCTAAAGAATACTGCCTCAAAAGAAAGAGCGAGATAATAAATTATGAGTTTTATTATTATTATGTGGTGATTTAGTATTTAAATATTAGCTGTGACTTTAAACACACACACAAATATTTATTAAAAATACAAAGTAAATACATTTAAAACAAAACAAATAAATAAACTCACCATTTTATATTTTAACCAACAGACTAAACTTTGTTCTTTCTCATTTTTTTCCCAAAATTCTATCAAATTATCAATTAAACATTACATACAAATTATTCTTCAAATCAAAATAAAAAATTAAAAAAAAATGAAAATGAAAATGAAAATACACCAGCCAAGCACACCAAATATCAGATGTTACAATAATACTCAAGTCAATAACATAGTTCCACTACTAACTATCGTGAACCAAACTTAACTCTACTTGTTAACAATTTGACTTTATTTTGTTTATAAAAATAAATAAATTGAGTATGAGTTAAAAAATTATTATTTCCATAGACAAACTCAGCTTGACTCACAAACAACTCAATTAAGCTTATTAATGATGATATATTTGTATCATTTTATATATTAAATACTCTCTCCGTCCGCTTTGAAAGTTTACATTTACTTTTGACGCGGTGTTTAAAAAATAATAGTATTTTAATTATAGTGAGTAGTTAAAACTAGTGTAATGACATTTTTACCTTTACTTTTTTTTGTGTAAAAGTAATGATGTGATGTAAAGTAAGGATATTTGTGAAAAAAAAAATAAGATATTTAATAAAATATTAACTTTATAATTAGACGTCCCAAAATAGAAATATATAAACATTGTAAGTGGACTAAGGAAGTATGATATAAGTTTTTACACCAAATCTTGTATTTATTAATAAAATTTCAATATTTTATATAATAAATTGTGAAAAAAAAAATTATATTTAATTTATATATTAAAAAATATATAATATGTAAAAAGTTTGAATTGAACTTGAGTCTTACAAACTTCCTAATTCAGACCTACTATTTTAGTTTGAATTTTAAACGAGTCGAACTGACCTACTATTTTAGTTTGAATTTTAAACGAGCTGAACTGAAATTATGACATATTTGAGTTGAGTTCAAAAAAACAAATACTCAAATTCACTTGGTTCATTTACCACTTGTTAGTTCTAAAAGAGACGCATATGTATGTGTGTGTGTGATTCAACAGCAAAATTACCTAGACCATAAAAAACAAAAAACACCATTATTGTCCTCCCATCCTTATATTCAAAATTCCAGTTATTTAATAAACATACTACTATAATTCAACCAGAAAAGAAATATATATATATATATATAATTAATTTTGGAAGCCCATTTATCTTTTCTGGAAAAACAAACATATATATATATATCTATCTATATACGCGCATGTGTATGTTGTGCAAGCATGGGACTACTTTTGATAAATTAGAGATATCATTGGTGCAGTGTAGAGAGAGAGAGAGAGAGAGTGAGAGTGAGAGTGCAATTAATTCATACCTGAGCTGCTGACTTTGTACATTGCAACTTCAACTTTTTCTTCTTCTTCTTCTTCTTCTTCACTCAAATACACAAACACACACATTCATCTTCATCTTCATCTTCAGCATCACTCCCTCTTTGCAGCAGCTAATGTCTTCTTCAAGCCTTTGAAAATTTTCCAGAACCACATCAAGTTCATCACCGATAAAGCCGACGGCGTCACCACTGCAAGCACCACACCAACTTGATGCAACTGCTTCACCTGTTCGTGTTTGTGCCGCCATTAATCAATCAATCAATCAATCAATCGTATCGTCAAAATCCTCGACTCACGATAGCGCGCAACAAAGTTAGGTAAAAATGTAAGAAATGTCGGGTTACCTGGTCCAAGTGCGTGTACAGATGATAAAACAAGTATATGAACAACAGAATTCTGGCGACCTGCAGGAGCAATTTCAGAAAATAAAGATATCAACACTAAATTAAGATGATAAAAACATCATCAAACTGGTTTCATTATTCGCAAAACTTGCCAGCCATGCTAGGAATATGACGACTCCATTCATTATATATGCCTTGGAGGTCTTCATTCCCGCTGCATCGAGATACCTATTCAAAAGATTCGAATTTGCATAAAAAAAGACTCTTTGCAATCAGACAATTCTAATCTAGACAAAGTAGATTACAGAAAGCGATTTACCATCTCAAATTGATCCAAGGGGTGGTTGCCTCGGATAATAAAACCATGAACGTGTAAATCTGCGCATCGCCTGTTAGCATGGGATAGGTCACGCCCACCATCGAGAGAAGATGATGAATTATCTGAAGCACGACAAACAAAAGACTGGTAAGCAATACAATCACCCTATCAAGATTATTAGTATGAACTACAAAGACGAACTGATATATCTCAGTGAAACTAGGCATTAATTATAGAGCTTTTTACACGCTATGCTCGTAGCCACCTGTTCTGTTGATGTATACATTCCGTGGTTGAAAACATTAAGAACTACATTATTTTATCAGAAGACGGAAACACGTTTTTGTAGGTTGGTGTTAGCGATCTTCTTTGAGGTGTTTTCATTAGTTGTTGCTCGATGTGTTCATGATACTTTTTCTCACAAACCGCCATTAGCGCATTCGGAAAACAACAGGACTATCATAATCCCTTTCTCACTGCTCAGCTTCTGAGGCTCTCCATCTATGAAGCTTATGAATACTTAGATTACAACATAACCAAGAAAAACAGGAAATATACTCTGTCCGCCAAACTTAACCTTACTTTTTATTCAAGTTTTGTCAATCAAACTTATGTTTATAATATTAAGAGCAACTATTTTTTTTCAATCCATTTAAATTTTACACATACTTTAACCACATCTTGTCATTGTCGTTACTTGACACATACAATATAAATTAAACACATTCCCAATAAATTTCCCAAATAGCCTCACATATTTTTTAGTTCTACATTAAATGTTATTTTTCTTAGTTTTCATGTCCGACTAAACAAGCATATATCTCACGGACGTAGGGAGTATAAAAAGGAGAAAAGCAGTAACTTTCATTTAAGTTAACAATGAAGTTTAAGTAATAGTGGGTGTGCTTACATACTCCATCCCACCTAATGAAGGATAGCACCAGATGATCATGCCAAGATCCGAAAGAAAATAACCGAGAGAAACCTATAAAAGAACAGAGGATGTCAAGTAACCACTTTTTATGATCGGTATAACCATAGGGCGGATGGTGAAACAATGAAAAAAGTTAAAACTGCTAACCCCCATCACAAATGTAGATGATGTTGAACTTCGAAGAGTTACAGGACCACGATGAATGTCAGTGGAGTAAAGATCCGAGAAGAACACAAAGTAAAATGACACAATCGTAACATATACAGCATGAAACGTAGAAATGGCTCTGCATATGGTAGCAAGTGAACTGTATCAGTCGTGCAACTTAAAAGACCAGAAGATGATCTGAGTTTCTAATATGTGCTCACCGGTTGCTCCATTCAACTTGCCGCGATTTCGAAAGATTGAAGAAGCTTTTAAAGCAAACAGGGCTAATCAAATGGCTAAGTTCATATACCTGATTGATTATCAATAAACACAGTACAAAATTAATCTAAAAGTACAAAAACAAAATCAATCACAAGAACATTAAAAATTTAAATACTGAAATAAGCATATACCGTTTTGCAAGCAACAATTCCAATGATGATCGAAGTATACACAACAAATGGATCGGCAGATATGTAATTCCTAAGAAGAAGCTCAGCATGGCTTATGTAAGATTGAATCACCATGTTTGAATCTTCAGACGACCCCACAGCTACACATTCCTTGTCCAGCAAGTCGAAAAACTCTCTATGCTACAGTTAATCTCACGATCTGTATCTCCATTTTCCATTCCACCATGAAAATTCAACAACAAAGAACAACAACACTCACTCGTCAGAAGATTAAACTTCATATTCTGATGAAATTACAACAAGAACAGCAAATGATACAAATGATTAATGTAAGCACACATAAAACCACCTCCGCATTTTCCAATCGCATCAATCCTACGAAAACTCTCAAACAACATTCCTAAAACTCAAGCAACCGTCTCTAAACCCTAACAACACCTCAAAACACAGCAAGTTCCATCAAACAAACACCAAAGCACCAACAACACATGCTAATTTTTTTAGAAAATATATATATATATAGAACAAATTCACGAACAACCAAATCCAGCGCTGCAAAAACAAAAAAAACGCTCGGAAAGAAAACAAATTCCCCGAGAATTCACCAAAAACTCTAAACAGCCGGAAAATGACAAAATAAAACAGACTGACCGGAGTCGTGACGCAGCGGCGCGATCAAAGAAGGGATGGAGAGAAGAGAATCAATTATGAATCTGGTTCAGCAGTGAGGGAGATGGAAAATAGGCGCGAATGGATTGGCGACGCTTGTCGTAGCCTCCACGTTTATCTAAGCATATGTATTGCTGCCATTGCTTCGTCAGTTTCCTTTCACTTCTTTTGGGAGGTGAGGTGAGGTGAGGTTCACCTGTTATTAATTATTAAATAATAATAAATTCTTTCTTTTTATATTTATAATTTTGAACGCATGGGTAAATTAGTAATTTTAGTATCATATATTCTTCTGGAAACTTGAAGAGTGTTTTATCTTTGTTTTTTTTCTTGGTCTTAAAATATTTGATATAACTGTTGGATTGACCTTCCCGTTTGTTTATAAGATGGTACGTTTGTTTGGTGATGTTTTGCAATTTGAATACTAATTCTGATTTATCCTATGTTTTTTTTTTGATAAGTTTGATAAAATTTTGGTTTGAATTTGATATTAAAATAATGTTTGATGGGATGTTTTCTGAAAAAATTTTTTTTTTTTTTTCGAGAAAAACAGAGTTCAAATAGTAAAATTTGAAAAATTTTAGGTAAACAAACATAGCCTTATTATATTTTTATAATGAAAAGTAAAAATTATTGTACGAAAAATATTATTTTTGTTAAAAAAAAAAAATTCCTTCTTTTAATCAATATATATATTACTATACATTATAAAAATATCTATATTTATATTTATATTTATATTTATTTACATTAATATTTTCATATAAAAGTAAAATCCAATGGTAAAATAATTTTTATATAAAAAAAATTTAGATGAGTTATTCTTAAAATATATTATTTATGAAACTTCGTAGTAAAAATTTTCACTTGAACTACATATAGGATGTGTTTATGTATTTTTTTAGGGGAACGATTAAAATAAGTAACTGTAATATATATAAACAATAAACAATTTTATTACAGACAGTACAGTTGTGTATAATAATGACAGATGGTGTTGCTTCTTAATTGTAGCGTATTGTATAATAATATGTTGTGTGCTGAAATAAATTAATATATATGTTGTATAAGATTATAGTATGTACTGTCAGTTGATATGTTTGTATTTGTGTTGTTGATTTATAACTATAAGTGTGTTGAAGTCAAATATTGATTGTATTTGTATTATATGAATGCAGACGGTATATTGCGGTATGTTGTCAGAGCTGCCGCTATTTTTTAGTGTTGTATCGTTTAAATTTTTATAATAATTTATTTTTATAAAATTATATTATAAAATATTATATTTAAATTAAAAATTAAATATGTTTAGTTTGTGATTTTTTTTCCTTTTATATATTATATCTTATATTTGTAATTTTGATTAAATAATAATTTAAGGTGATATTTTATTAAAAAAAATTAAAAAAAAAATCCTCAATTCCTTATTTAACTTCAAGTTTAAGCTTTGTTCTTTTATTTATTTTTTTCTACAGTTTTTTTCAAAAAATTAATATATTACACATAATCATTGTTGAGTATATCACATTGGATATGATATTGGACTTCTCTACAAGAGGTGAAAAATTACACCACTTACAATCACTTGATTTTAATTGAAACTCAAATTTCCGTCTTAATATTCATTATCAGGGCCGGTTCTGACTTTTGATAGGCTAGTGGAAAAAAAAAAATGGGCCTTTATATATAAAAAAAAAATTTATAATAAATTTAAATAATCAAATAAAACAATTTCTTCTGATATTTTTACAAACAAAATCATTATTAACAGTATCAATATTATTATCTAACATTTCTTTTTTAATAGATAATATAGCTAAATCATTTAATCTCTCTTGAGACATAGAAGATCTTAAATAAGTTTTTAATAATTTTAATTTCGAAAAACTTTTTTCAACCGATGCTACAGTTATAGGCACAATTAATAATATACGATAAGCAATTGAAACATTTGGATAGCAATCCGCAACTTTAATAAATTCAAAATTTTCTATTTGCAATTTTAAATTATCTGGTAAAATTATTTGCAAAAATTTTAATTCTTGGATAGTTTCTTCTACGTCAAATATCAGATACAAAGTTATCACAAAAAAATGATTGAAAATATATTACAACATTCTCTTAATATTTTATCATTTAAAGATTTGAATTTATTTGAATTAAATAAAATACCAAATATTTTGTTAAATATTTTTAATTGATGAAACCTATTATTTAATAAGGTAATTGTCATATCTACCACAATTAAAAAATAGTTAACTTTAAAAAATTCTTCTTTTTTAAAAATTTTACGTTTAATTGGAAAAATACATTCAATATTCATACCAGTAGCAATTTCTTTTGCAATATTCATATTACTATAAAATCCTTCGTTTTTATATTTTTTAAAAAATAATAAAACATCTTCTAATTGTTTTATAGCAGTATCAATGCAAACAAATTCATTTTGTAATTTTTTACTTATACTATTAATGACAAATAAAATATCATACCAAATAATCATACCTAATAAAAATTCATAAGATTCAAATAAATTAATCAAACTTTCTGTTTCACTTTTTTGTTTAGCATTGTCACAAGAATGAATTAAATCTAATAAAACTAATCTAATTTGAGGACCTTGAAATCTAATAATTTTAATACTTTTAATTCGACTTTTCCAACCGATATTTGAAAAAGATTTTAAAGTTAAATTTGAAACATTATCAAGTAAAATTTTCCATCTTTTTGTAGAATTTGAAAATAATGTATAAACCTTGAACAACTCCAAAAAATGAAATTGTTTTTAACAAGAATGTGTCATATCACAAACAGGTTAAGACTATGACAAACACATGACATATGTAATGCTTTATAATTTATATCAAGTAATCATTTTTTAAACCCTTGATGTTTACCTTTCATGTTCAAACCATTATCATAACCTTGACCTCTTATGTTATTAATATCAAGACCTAAAGCTTCAAGTGCATTTTTTTAATTCATGAAAAAGTCCTAAACCGCTTGTATCATTTACTTTTAAAAATTGTAAAAAGTATTCTTATATTTTAATATTACTATTTGACATGTTTATATATTTTACCATTAATGACATTTGTTCGTAATGACTAATATCCGGAGTACAATAAAGAATTATTGAAAAATTATTTTGATTCTTTAATAATTTGTATAATAGAATTTCTAACATTGTGGGCTAATAAAGAAATTAATTCATTTGAATTTTGTGGCTAAGATAATGATAACGAATTTTATTATTTTGAATACGTCTAATATGATATTACATTATTATATTAAATTCTGCAATCACTTCAATTATCCCTAAAAAATTATCATTATCATCTTGATAAAGTTTTTCACTCGATCATCGAAAAGTTAAATTATGTTTAGAAAAACATTTTACAACCGATATTATTCTTATCAAAATTTGTTTTAAACGTTTTTTTTTTCTTTTATAATTTATAGTTGAATATCTTTATTAATTGTTTGATTTTCATTTAATCTCATTTTTAATTCATTCTAAATATTCACACACTACCAGAAATTTGTGGTTTGGTTTCGGAAAATTGCCTCGGAATAAACTCCGAGACTATGGAAAATGTATATTATATATATTAAATTAACAAAATTGATGTGGCTTCGGATTTTTAAAATAGCTTTGGAATTTTCGAGGCTATATTAAATATATATTTTATTTTATTAAATGGTCTCGGAATTTCCGAGACCAAATTAAATATATATTTTATTATATGAAATAGTTTCAGAATTTCCGAAGCTAACTTAAATATATATTTTTTATTATATTGAATGGTTTCGAAATTTCCGAAGCTAAATTAAATATATATTTTATTATATGAAATAGTCTCTGAATGATTTCAGAAGTTCCGAGATCAAATTAAATATATATTTTATTATATGAATAGTCTCAAAATTTTCAAGACCATATTAAATATATATTTTATTATATTAAATGGTCTTGAAATTTTCGAGACTAAATTAAATATATATTTTATTATATAAAATTACTTAAAAATTCCGAGACAATATTAAATAAATATTTTATTATATAAATTGTCTCGGAAATTTAAATATTTCAAAATATTCAAAATTTTATTATATATATATATTAATAAAAAAGGTCCGGAAAATTCCGAACCTATTAAAAAATTAAAAAAATAAATCCTAATAATACATCACAGCCGCCTCCTTCCCCTCTAAACCCTAAATCTTTCCTCTCTTCCAAAATCAAAATATTTATTTCCCCCCAAAACTTTTTTCTTTTTTTTTCTTTCTGTTCTTCATTCTTCTACTCTTACTTTAATTATTTTTTCCTTTCCTTTTTATCTTCCCCTTAATTCCTCCTCCTTTTTCTAATGTAATATTCCTCTTTCCTTCATCTTCCTCCTCCTACATCAACAGCGGCGGTCATGCTGGCGGAGGAGGCGGCGACGGCGGCTGCGCGACGGCGAGACTTCATGTACATTTCTCGGCAGCGAGAACGGTGGCAGCATCCCCTTTGCTTTCTTCTTCCTCTTTTCCGGCAGCTGCGGACCGAAGGCGAGAACAATGGCAGCATCTCCTTGTTAGAAAATAAACATATAATCAAATATGTTAGCTGAAACAGAGATTGAAACCGTGGGAGGGTGTTGCCAAACTCTGGAATTTTTGGGAGGATGTTGCCAAACTTTGGAACCATGTGAAGATGTTGCCAGATCCTGAAACCCTAAGATGATGTTGCCAAACCCTGGCTTTCAAATAGCGATGGTGTATTCTGATTTTCTGAGAGTAGGTTTAGTAAGCTGTGCGTACGTGAGAGTCTTTATAATAAAAAAATGGGTCATAATTTTAAGTTAGTTTAATTATATAAGATAATTCAAAAATAATCAGAATTCAAATGTGATTAATTAATTAATTAAACTAACACTCCTTTTCTTTCTTCTTCCTCTTTTCTGGCAGCGGCGGACCGGCGGGCATCCTCCTTCGTCGGCGGCGGGCGGCCGGCAAAGCCTCCTTCTCTCGCGGCGTTAGCGGCAGCGGCTTCCTTCCTCTTCTTTCTTCTTCTTCTCCGGCGGGGGGGCGGAACTTCCTCCTTCGTTTTCTTCTCCGGCGGCGGCGGCAGGGAGACGGCAGAGCTTCCTTCTCCGGCGGCGTCAAGCAGCGGCGGCAGCCTCTCCTCGTCTTTCTTCTTCTTCTT